AAACAAATATACAGCTACTAAATTGAAATTATAAGATAGTCAACAAAATAAGAGGTTGACAAAAATGGATGATTAATTAAATTTTCAAGCAAAACTTACAAAAAAACATTTTTATCTAGTTAAAATCATTTATAAAATAATTTTTACTAGCATAATATTACAACTTTTTTTTTTGTCACAACTAATAAAACATTTTTCTTGTGCATATTTCTTTGTTTCTAAAACCTCGTATTATCAGATAATATTACATGATCGTTAAGTTTACTAATCATTTTAGTGTGTTAGGGTAGTGGAAAGAAATGGACCCCACTCTCCAATATGTTTAAAATGCATCATCATCATCATTACAAGAAAATTCACCAATGTCATTAATTTGTGGCTCCGGGGCATAAACTATTGTATACTACAATGTTGTCTTGACATTTAGAGCTGGTCGATATATAGTTGCGATTTGATCATGATGACAATCTTTGACCAATTTTGCCTTCCCATAAAAGTATGATCAATTAATTTGGCGATAAATAAAAAGCGATCGAGTTTACAAGATCATTTTATAAATCAATTTTGAGAACAAAATTAAATGATGGGCAATTCTCTAAAATAACTATCTTTTAAGTTTTTATCACAAAAATAAACTTCAAAAAAGTAAAATAACCAAAATAGCATTTTTTATTTTGAAAATTTTAAGTTTTCTTAACTTTTTTAAATTCGAAATCCTATCACCAAAACCCCACACCACAACTCTAAACAAAAAGTTTTAGGATTAGTTAACCCAATATGTATAAATTTATATTTATAAAACGTGCTATTTTGGTCATTTAATTGTTAAGGTCTATATTTGCGATAAAAACTTTTTTATGTCTATTCTAGTCATTTTCTCTTAAATGATTTTCAAAGAAATTAAGTAGTTATATATATATATATATATATAAACTGAGTTGACAAATGGCTCACTTGTGACTAGGTGTTCGTCTCGTCGGAGTCCCGGTTTCATTTGGGTCATTGTGGGCCGTACCGTCGTAATGGTGTTTTTTTAGAGGTGATGACCAATTTTTCCCTATCGCTCTATATGCGGTAAGCGGGTCAACCAATGAAACATGATACTAACAACATACTCAGTTAATGTAGATGTGAGATCATATAAAACTTCCATTCAATAGATCATTCCCTTCTTAAACAACAACATCAAATCATCATATAGTCCAACAATTCATAAATAAGAATGTAACTATTGGAGTTTGTGCATCAACGAAGAAGAAGAATGCGTAACAAACTTTCCATTTCTGATTAACTGAAAACAGAGTACATGGTTTAACTTATATAGTAATAGTCTCGGTTTACATAATCAATCATACCAGAGACTAAACCGAAATAAACCACTAAACCATTCTAATACTCTAATATGCTCTCTCAAGATGGCAAGTAGATAGACTTTAAAGCCATCTTGCCCACCAACGAGTAGTAATGAGGAGAGAATAAAGGTTAGTAAAAACATCAGCTATCTGGTTGGATGTTCGGACATGAAGTAATTTGATGAAACCGCGCACAACACGTTCTCTTACTTCATGACAGTCCAACTCTATGTGCTTAGTACGTTCATGAAATACAGAATTTGTAGCTATATGAATGGCTGTAGTAGAGTCACAGAAGAGTGAAACAGGGCCTGTTTGTGCTGACTGCAACTCGGCTAAGAGATTCCTAAGCCATATAACTTCCCGTGAACCAAATTCCATAGCACAATATTCTGATTCTGAGGAGTGTGAAACTGTTTGTTGCTTCTTAGACTTCCAAAAAAATGAGAGCTTTCCCAAGAAACATACAATAACCAGAAGTGGAACGCCTAGAATCAAGACAAGACGCCCAATCTGCATCAGTAAAAGCTTGTAGAACCAAATTAGATTCAGCCGAGTAGAAAAGACCTAAACCAACACTGCCTTTTAAGTAATGTAGAACTTTCAAAGCAGCTTGAAGATGGGAATTCTTTGGTGCTGATGTAAACTGACATAAATTGTTCACAACAAAGGTAATGTCTGGACGTGTTATTGTCAAGTACATCATGCGACCAACTAACCTTCTATAAGCGGCTGGATCATCAAGAAGTGGTTCAGGAGAATCTGCACAGAGCTTCGCACTGGGATCCATAGGTATGAGAGATGGTTTACAGGCTAATAGACCAGCATCCTTTAACAAACCTAAAGTATATTTCCTCTAACAGACGGAGATGCCTTTGTTGGAACGAGCAATCTCTAGACCAAGAAAATACTTCAAGTTTCCAAGATCACGAAGTTTAAAAGCTTCACTGAGAGCAACCTTTAACTGATCAACATCGGTATCATTGTTTCTGGCAATGATGATGTCGTCAACATAGACTAAGACTGCAGTATAAACTCCACCAACATTACGAAAGAACAATGTATGATCAGAGTTTAATTTCGTAAAACCTAGTTGAAGTAGAGTGCCACTGAATTTAAAAACCACTGCCTTGATGCCTGTTTTAAACCGTATAAAGACTTCTGTAGTTTACAGACAGCATTAGGAGGAAGTGTTTCGCCACTCTTTGGTGTGTATCCCAGTGGTAATGTCATGTAAATTTCCACATCTAGTTCACTGTTGAGAAAAGCATTGGAGATGTCTAGTTGAGTAAGAATCCATTTCTTTGCAGCAGAGACAGCAAGAAGAGTTTTCACCGTTGTCATCTTTGCTACTGGAGAGAAAGTTTCAGCAAAATCCACACCCTCTTGTTGTGTATATCCTTTGGCAGCTAGGCGAGCTTTATATCTTTCAATAGTGCCATCAGGATTGATTTTGATCTTGTAAACCCACTTACAACCAATCGCATGTTTACCTAGTGGAAGTGAGCATATTGACCATGTTTCAGTAGTCTCCAAAGCCTGCAATTCCTCATTCATGGCCCTTAACCATTCATCAAACTTCTTGGCCTGAGTGAAACTTGTAGGTTTTGAAAATGTGCTATAGCACATATATATGCTTTGTAATCAGCGGAAAGATTTTCAAAAGACATGTATGCAGAAAGTGGATAGGGAATCTCTGTATCACACTCTGCTACATTACAATAATAGTCCTGGAGATGAGCAGGCAGCTTTGAAATCCATTTTGCTTCAGCATTACATGCTATCATCAAAAGAAGCATTAAGTTTTAGGAAGATTGTTTACCACATGTGGAATTTGCTTATAATCATTATGTGCATTCATTTACGAAGCTTGTTTATGGCTTAAACAATTTTGTCACCATTGTATTTTATTTTCTTACCTTTGAATAAATACTAATTTTGATGGCGAAAGAAAGGCCGAGTTTATTTAATCTTTTCATGAGCAGGTGAGGAAAAAACATTGAAGAAACGACAAGGATGTATGCAAGGATAACAAAGGGAGGAACATACTAGAACCAGAAGAATTGGTTTAGATTTCCCTAAGAAAAACAAAGGTTTCCAAGCGAATGGAAGTCTAATCTCATGCCTTGAACTGATGGACCATTCAAATTTTTGGAGAAGATCAACAACAATGCTTATAAAACTGATCTCCAAGGTAAATACTCAATCCGTTTTACTTTCAACGTTTCTGGCCTTATTCCTTTTGTTTTAGATGATTTAGATTTGATGTCAAATATTTTATAATTAATTTCAGCCATCATTAGACCAAAAGTGTATGTTGAACGAGATGGACGACCAGAGCTTTACATGGATGAACTAGCTGCTGCGAACGTGGACGGACTATCAGGAAATGGATCAGACAAGAATGGGTGGTCGGGAAATGGACAGGAGAAGGACAGACAGTTGGGAAATGTATATGGTGGAAACTGGACCTAAAGAATGAGGATGAAGACAAGGACTTGGAAATGGATCAATCCAAGTATTTTCTTTTTGAAAAATTGAAATGGTCAAAAAAATCATTGGCTGGATCGAGCCCAAAAAGAAGTTAGACAAGATAAAGGCTTTGCGGTCCACAATGGGATTATCCACCAAGCACACGATCCACTTGTCAATTCAATTAGACCGGTGATAAGATCAAATACCAATGCTTTTAAAGAATCTCTTGAACTTCTAATCAAGTTTTTCCCAGAGGACGATGAGCTGACCCATGGGAAGAATAAAGTACCAACCACATGGTTTAATCTCTCGATTGATCAAGACTTGGAGTTTTAGGGTTCTTACTAAACGCATTAGGTTTGGTGTACATGTAAACATATTATGAGTTGTTTTTTCTTTCTTCATAAACCACTAGAGTTAGGATTAAGATTTAAACTCGTTATTGTTTTTTCTTTTATATACTTATCATTTAACTCTTTTACAAGCTACCCAATAAATTACGTTTTTGCAAACAAGTCTTTTGAGCATCATATATCTCTTTGTTCAGTTTTTGAACATATGCATTCAAATCACTAGGAAGAATATTCTTTCTATCAAGTGATCCATATAACACCATCAAACGAGGTTACACGTAAGGAATTACATCATTGTTGTGTGATGAAAATATCCATCATCCAAGTGCTAGTAACCCTCATATCTATCAAATCAGTAGTCTGGAGGTTCATTCGTCCACCTTCAAGTGATCCAAAACAATACACATATCCAAGGTCGTATCAGATCTAATTTTCCACTAAAAACAATCTAAACTGTTTGAAGTTTTATTTTCAGGACACAACAGCAGTGACTTCACAGTATAAGAAATATCAGCATTAATAGCACCCGAAAAACGCTACTATAGAGCTTTTGTAGCGTTTTTATAAACATTCTGACAGGC